AAAAAAAAATAAGAAAGAAAATTAAATATGAACACAGACGAATTTAAAATATATTCTTAATTTTTTTTTATCCAGGGCTCTTATTTTCAGTTAGTGAAATATGGTGAATTTAGAGAAAATGTCAAAGCTTGTTTTGCCTTTCTGGAAGTTTGATATTATCTGCTGTGTTTCTCTCCGCTGGAGGGAAGGATGTGACGTCACTGCTTATTGGTCCAGATCTGCAAAACGAACATGGGGAAGGAGATGTAACATGCGCATTAAATACTTATTCATTCCTGCTAAGTACTTATTGGTGGCCAGAATGTGTGTATTCGGAGTCTATGAATTACTAAAACATAATTATTTTACTTTCTTATTCAGTAAGAGGAAGAAAAATGGATAAACCGTCTGATCTAGTTTGATTTTAGCCTGAGAATGAGCTGCAAAGGGATTCTGAAAGGTTGCTTTCGTGCCCTGTATGGGGGTGGAGGACTGAAACATTTCGCCTGGTCAGCCAGACCGACATTCCAGCCTAACGACCTCCCTCTCAGAGGCATAGACCAGTGTTGGATAGCGCAGGTAAACAAAGAACCCAATAGACTCCTCATTCCTAAGGAGTGGACCCGTTCTTCCGGTTCAATTTGGATTTTCTAAGCCAAAACAAGAGGCTGTTTTGGTCCACTCTATAAAGCCTCAAACTCAACCCAATTTCTGACATTTTGAATTTAAAAAGCCTCTTGGATGGGAGGCAAAACGTCTTCAAACTTAGAAACAAAGTCCAGTGGATTGTTTTTTTAAAATAAATTTTTTTTAAATGTCACATAGTTATTTATTACTATAGCTTAATAAAGCACAAAATGTGTTTTTTACACACTTTTAAAGTTGTTTGTAAGAAATATCAAAACTTCCAGTTATTGGAAATAATGTTTCAATAATAAAAATATTATCAAATATGTGAAAAATGTCAGAGAATGAAGAGAGATGTAGATCTATCATTGATAGACAGTGTATCAGCCTGTTTACCTTCTTTTCAACTGAGGAGACGCTAACTGTGAGCTAGCTCTTTGTTTTTATTGGAATCCATCAATCTGCTGGGAAAGACTTTGTTCTTCTAGCAGAGCTTTTAAAGAGGTGGTTCTGGTTAACCTGACAACAGCCAGATGCATGTCTCGCTCCGCCTAGCTCCGCTCACATACATCTGGGAACCCGCCATAG